TTACATTTAGTCTAGATGGCTTTCCAGCATGATTCATCCTCACAGAACAACTGTGCACCTGTTAGCACAGAACAACTAATGATTGACAAAAAAAGTCAATTTTTTTCCATACAGAAAAACCATGGCAGTTGTTCTATTCAGGATTTGAACAAAATCCCTGAAAAGTAACTATTAAAAAGTGTATCATAGTTCTGTTGCAATCATTTAAGATATAAACCAAGACTGCGCTAATAATTCTCACATCACAATACAGAGGCTTGATTGCTTTCCCCTTCCTCTACTAAATCCTAGTGTAATCTTTGAACTGGTCAACATAGCAGCAAGAGCAATTGGGGGGGGGGGGGGGTTACTGATGCTCAGGTGAGGACAAGACATCACCACTTCCTGCAGTGTTAAGTAAAATAAATTGCCAGAAATATCACATATGCCTAAGTCAAAATTAGTATGATCAGGTCAGCAATTGGTAGGTGAAAGACTATGAAATTAATGTGATACCAAGTAGTTATGAAGCACCCTGTAATTCAAAAGTCTGATAGAGGCTTTTCTTAATGAAGCATTGTCTCTGTTTAAAGCCCAAGTCACCTGGTTACACAGGAGTCTCGTGTGTACTATGAAACTTATATTAAGGAGAATACAGCAGAAAAAAATTTAACTCTTGTGGTATCAGTAAGACTAATCTGCTTTGAGTTATAAAACTTCTCCAATGCCATTCATAAAACCCTTCTCTGCCTTGCCTCTCCGCACTGCTGGCTCCAGGAAATGTTCTGGGAAATGGCCAGGAAATAGCCTAGCAAACGGTCATTAACTTAGGCGCGAGGCCCTACCTGATAGATACAAAAGAGAGATTAAAAGATGTCTAGATTAACTGTGCCCTAGAAATATTGACTTTCCCTACAGGATTGACTCTTAGCATAATTGTAATTATGTAACTCAGCACGCTGTTCTCGTCCAACTGTAATTAACTTTAAAGGAGGCATATTCTAAGTACACATACCAGGAAATTCAAGAAAAATAGCCCTGTGGATATATTTTAATTGTTCATGAAGATGAATATCAGAAAGATTAAAAACTGACAGAAAATCCTGTTTTTTTTTTCCTTTGGTTCACATTTACTTTGCTTGTACAAACTGAGCTCCATTTTATAGCACCCACCAAACAAAGTAAGAACCTAATGAGCAACAACATATAAGGTTCCTTGTTGTCTTGTGAAAGAAATTACCCTCACAGTACAACACAGCCAACTTTTCTTTTTTTTTTTTTTTCAAATGACACAAAAATGCAAATTCCTGTGGAAACCCTGTGTATCAACCAACATTCCCAACATCAAACAACAACACACCCTCCCTAAAGTGCAAACATGCCTGATTTAGTAGACACCTCATCACGCTAACACTTACACATAAATCAATCAATGCCTGAAAAAAAAAGCTGCATGGAAATTAAACTCTTGAACCACTAACAAATTTATGTACACAAATTAAAATCCATTACTGAGTATGTCCTGTTCAATAAGACTTGGCAGGCGATGGAAATGTTAATGGCTCTAGCAGAAGTCTGGGAATCTAGTCAGTGTATATGTACGGGGGTTGATCAAACACTGCTATGTGATTAGGAACTGTAAGCCAATTTACTTAAGAGTTACCGGGAATACAAGGAAATCCCACCCCAAACTGAGGTATTGAAAATGTTGAGTGCTCCTTAATTCAGCAGTCTGGGTTATTTAAATTCTGAATGACTCATGTGCAATAATACAAGAATAATTCTCTCTCTCACTTTCTCTCTCTCTCTCACACATGCACTCACACACACAAACACAAAACATTTCTTAAAGCAGCCACACTGATACAGTTTACCAGGGCTTAGCTTGGCAAATTCTCACCAAAATAAACAAATTTTTCATCTTCAACAAGCTTGGCTCAATCAAAGTATATTATTATGTTCTAGTAAGAAATTAAAATACAGCTGAACAGCTGTACCAGAGGCCCTACAAACAAGGCTTTTTTTTAGTGCATTTCCTTGAATGTCTGTTTTCCCACTAGGAATATCTGGCTTTCCTACCAAAGGGTTATGTATTCTCAGCAAACATGCCAAGTCTGGATACAACATATAGATCATAAAACTAATTAAACCCCAGGAGGATGAGTACCAAGAAACACCAGCCTCCTAGGAATAAGTAATATACAATGAACAGTGTGTGTTTATGTGTGTTTACACATGAGTCACTACTAAAATAGTATGTACCTGTATTTTACAAGAGGTCTTTATGCACTGCAGTGAAAACAAGTATTGTAACAGTTCTATAGTAGCAATGTATTATTAGAGGTATTTGTCCGACTGCAGTTGCCAGCCCAGCAGTGAGACACCTGAGTATAATGAGCGGAAATGTGTAGAGGTGGATTACCACTGAGCTGGTGACCATCTGGTTATTATGTACTTGTGACTCTTGCAAGGATGGTCTTGACTTCCCTTTGATGGCTGATGTCAAACAAATTGCACCCTGAGTTTCAGTATCTATCATAATAGAATATGTCGTATGCTGCTATTAGAGGAAGGTTTTTCGCTAACTAGTATGGTAATGACTCAATCTTTTAAATGGACAAAAGTTATCAAACTTTCAGATACATAACTTTACAATAAAAAATTATAGTCCTAAAAAGCATATCTGTGGTGCTTTTACTGTATATACATAGAAAAGAACTATAGAGTAGCCTGCTTTTTAAGCATGTTGCTTTCACTCAATAGGAATGTTCTAATATGAAGAAATTATGACAGAAAAATTCAAAGTAAAATTCAAGTAAATACCACACTCTGATACTCAGGGCGCAGATATGACAAAGTTACTGAACCCACATTATTTCAATCCCTTTCAGAGAATTAACACACCTATAATCTCACGCCAACACAGAGCTGCTGCGGAAACACAACCCGTTCATATGATCCAACCCAGAGCCTCTTAAAAACTATTAACTGATTTTATCACATATTGATTACGGGTAGAATTATCTATAAGCTGATGATATGGTGGAATTATCCATGACTGTGAGCTAAAATAAGGTTTAAATAAGCCTCTAATGGTCGTTTTTACCACGCTTCTGGTGTCATTTTCCTCGTGTGACTTGATTAGTGTTAAAATCTTGCTACTGATATGAAGATTTCCAAAGTGAAAGTTTCATGTTCGCAGAAAATTGGCTAAATCATATTAATGTTGTTGTGATTTTCAGAGAAAAAGTTGAATATATTCCACATTGCAAAAAATATACTTTTGAAAAAAAAAAACAGTTTTCCCTTTGACAAGTACTGTTATAAAAGACAACAAAACATGACAGTTAAACAGTGCTATAATCAATGTTTTGATATATATAAATATGGCAGGGCATAGTATGAGTGGACTCATATAATTTCTATGAAATAGTATATAAATTTAGAAAGTGTAAAATATGCAAATACATAACAAGAGACAACAGCAAATTCAATTTAGTGATTTAGACATTATCTAATATCTTTACAGTAATATACAGTGAAAAGAAACACCCCTGCTTGGTATTTGTGTGTGGTACACAAATCACACATAGGCATTACTTCATGTTTAGATATAAGAACTAATTCAGACAGGATCAGCTGGCAGAGGCGGCATAAAAAAAGAAGAAAAAGAGAGAGAGAGAGAGAGAGTTAGAAAAAAAAAGAGATTTCTTTGTAATCAGGCCTTGGCATTGAAAGATTCCTTTTAGACTCCAATGTTCTAATGCTTGGCTTATCAAACCAGTGGTCTGATAACAAAAGTTGGGCCCACTCTCGATCCAAATTAATCTTTGTCTACACTGGCCTACAGTAGGAAGCAACAATGCAGATCCTTGTAGGCTTTGTTTTCAAAGAAGAACTGCCCATGTAGATAACCGTACTGTTTATGAATGATAATATCCGTGTTCATCAATGGGCAGCTGCACTATAGGATGTTGTGAGAGTAAACACTGGACACAGTGGTCAAGCGGTCAGTTGTATAGCTGTGTATACTGGTATTCATACAAATAGATACTGTTTAGCAATGTGTGTAGAAATGTGTGACTGATATTGGCTTCGATATCATTTCAAGGAAATGTAATTATTAATGAAAAATAATGTCATTCTGAAGCCAAAATTCATTTAAAAATGTATTGTGTCAGGGCAGAGATGGTGTTTTTATCTCTGTTGTTGATCAAACATGAAATATAGCATAGAACCTAGATCAAATTCTGATTCAGAGTCAACCTTTTCCAGTCAAAACTGTGCTTCCTTTAAACTCTGTGTTGTTATGAATGATACAGTAATGTATTTTGAGCCTAGTACTACAGAAATTCCTGCCACTGATTGCTGATATGGTAGGCACGCTTCTAACATAACCCCACGTCTGGCGCAGAAATCCTCATATCACTAGCTATCAATGATATCATATTTGATTTGGGAACACTGAAAACATTCAAAATAACAAATAATTGCCATTATTTCTGAAGACAAAGTAATAAATCTTCTGAAGCATTTGGTGAAACGTTTACACGATAACTTGAATTCAGCATTTCATTCTGGACGAACATACTGCCATATCAGCTTCTATTTTTACCATTCACAACTGACGGTTGTATCCTTCACTGCGCACGCTAATGGCTGGCAATTAAGCAGCTGTTTCAGAAAATTGTGGAAAATACTGTTTATTTCTGTACATATCATCTTAGTTTTTCTAACTGACTTACTGATAATCCTACATGGTAAGCTGATAGCAGATAGTACCAGCAGGAGATACCATTCAACATTCAAAATTCATCATATGCAAGTTAAAACATCTACAGATTAAATTTATTGGAATATAGCCCATTAGTTTTTTTTTTTTTTTTTTTGTTTTTTTTTTCAATACATAGGGAGAATTATAAAAACCTTGAAACAATCTTTGTTTCTATCATCAACATAATACTGTAACTTTTAAATTAATTTTTTTAACAGCCAATTTAAAGTTTTGTTTCTTTTTTCAGCAAGCATGAAAAGAAGTTGATACAAAGAAAACAACATCAGAAGACCAAACCAATCACTTTCTGTTGAGATACAGTAGCATTCCACATCTATGACAATCCAGTGATTACATCATCCAACTCGTCACAATGCGCAGCAGTAACAACCTTCTACTCCACCTCACCATCCTTGGACTGTCTTGCCTCACTCTCACCACAGCAGAGGTAGGAAAAGACCCAGCTGAAATCTGGAATACAACCTGTGTGTCCAACTGCTCGTGTGCTATAAAAAACACAGACTTTGGAGTCAAGTTAAAAACAGTTGATTGTCATAACCTTAACCTTCTGTCCATTCCCAGTGACCTTCCTCTGGACACGGAGGCACTCCTTCTACAAGGAAATGACCTTACAAGTGTTGAAAACACCATACTGCCTCTACCACAACTTCAACACTTGGATTTATCTTACAACAATTTAGACTCGTTGCAGGAAGTATCCGTGATCAGGAACTTAACTTCCTTGCGCTATCTTAACCTGGCCAACAACAAGTTAACATCTCTATCCAGAGACAGTTTCAGTGGCCTTCACAACCTGAACAAGTTATTCTTGTCCAACAACGCACTGCAGCAAATCGAGCCAGAAACTTTGGATGAGCTCTCGAGCCTAAGGAGCTTGTTTCTGCAGGAAAATCGACTCACGTCTCTGAATCCTCAGTGGTTTTCCAATTTGCCTTATCTGGATGAGTTAACTTTATCCGCCAACCAGCTGAGAGTACTACCAGATGGGGTGTTCAGACCATTGCGGAAGCTCACCAAGCTGTCTCTGAACAGCAACAACATCAACCAGCTAACACAGGCAGCCATCCATGGAATAGAAAATTTAGAATTCCTTTACTTTGACAACAACAATCTGACTGTTGTACCTACACAAACCCTGGCCAACCTGACAAATCTCAAAATCTTGTCCTTAAATGGAAATAAGTTTCAAAGGCTGGACACAGGAAGTTTTCACGATCTCCCAGTGCTTGCCGAGCTCAACTTGAACAACATGCCATCACTTTTGTTCGTAGATGCTGGTGCATTTAAGGACTTATCCAGCTTGACCATCTTACAGCTCCACGACAACATCAACTTGACCTACTTGGATGCCAACGCTTTTGACAATGTTCCTAAACTCAGCATGCTATACATACATAATAATAACCTGATGGCACTGCCTGAGGAGATCGCAAAATCCTCACCACATCTGCAGGACATCAGTTTTTACCACAATCCTATTCACTGTGACTGTAATGCAAGATGGATACGAGAATGGATGGAACGAGCCAAGGACAAAACCAAAGACACCAATGGCACAGTTACACCTGGGCACCTGACCAATCACTACTCGCGGCTTCAGTTCCAGTGGTCTGACAGGCTGGTTTGTGACACGCCCCCAGCTTTGAACACCAAAGTTCTGCAAACCGTCCCCCTGGAGAGTTTTTCCAAAACATGCGCCCCTACGGCTCTCCCATTCTTCAATGCCAGCTACACACTGGAATTAGGCGATCCTTTCACCATACACTGCCGGGCCATAGGAATACCTACCCCAAATATTCACTACTTTCTAGGGCAGGGAAAGAAAGTAAACGAGACATCATCGGACTCCGACAGATATCAGTTTGACAGAGGGAGTCTCACTATCACCCACGTGACCCAGTCAGACACTGGCGCTGTAGTGTGTATTGCAGCCAACAATCGCTCTCAGTACGACACCACTTCTACTCGACTTAAAGTGAAGGGTAAAAATGTTAAAATCCTCCCCGTGGGCGTGACCGAGAACATGGTCACAGTGGCTCTCAACGGATCAGACTTGAATAAAACAGTGGAAAAGTTCCACCTCAGTTACAAACTATCTCCAGGTAGCGATCAAGACTATAAACTGATCCATATTTTGCCTAACAATACGCAAATCTTCACCATAACAGAGCTACAGCCAAAGACAATGTACATCTTCTGCATCACTTATGAGCACAATAACTACAATCATAACTTAGACTGTATTAACATCAGCACTGACTCCAAGGTTATCAAAGAACTGCATAATGACAACATCAGTACCAGTAACGATGTCAAATTCAATGACGTCACGGGTACAACGGTTGTGACGGTCATCTTTGTGTGCGTATCTGTCCTCACAGTGCTGGCGGTGACACTGGCATTTGTGCGCCGTTTCAAGCAAAGGCAGCCATACAAAGAACCCGATGGTATGGTTTACCGCTTGGGTAGCATCTCAAACATTACGCTAGACTCTTTGTACAGCCCTCCATCTACCCCAATACACAATCTCAAGACATCGCTGGTGAAAAATGCATATGGTCCATCATATGCCTAGGATAAAAGTTATCATACACAGTGTTTCCCCTTTGTAACATGTCTTCCCTTCAGTAGACTTCTTGACACCACTTATTCAGTACAATACATGTGAAACAAAATTAATTGCAGTCACTTTATATATTATTCTACTTGAATTTGGTCTAACAGATGAAATTAGTTTCTCTTAGTGGGAATATGTCACATATTAATTACACATTTACCAGGAAATGTTTTAGTCTATAGATTAATGATGACTGTAACAGGCATGTGGATATACATCAGAAAGCATTGTTGCAAATGCCAAATATATTATTTCTTTTCTAACACAAATATATTAAATGCAGGATCCACAAATACCAAGTACATGTGCAGGCACTATTTTTCATATAAGAATATATTCAGTCTTATTTAGTTGCTGAAGTTGAACATCATTTTGTCAAAAGTAAATTTTTCTATTTAGGTTAAGCACAAAAAAAGCATTCTTTAATAAATACCATGTGTGTCTCATGCATATGTCAGTCTTTTTACAACGAATCTGAGCTTTTTCAATGTATATTTCTGCTTAATGCATTTGATGTAAATAAACAATGAGAAATGTAAATATGTCACTTATACATATTAAGTAACAATAGGAACAACTCAATGTCACAGCAAGAAAGAAAGAAAGAGAAGTGGCTTTTGTAATGAAATATGACAAATGAGATAGTCCTAGAGCAATCCATAACATGAGTTCATAAAATATGTGTTCTGTAGGTATTTTGGTCTTTGCTTCATTGTAATAAATTTAAAGTGAGCAGTGCCATATATTAATCAGTTCACCAACAGTCTATATCACTGCATTGTACAGTGTTGAATAGTTTCTTTGGTTAGTAACTTTTCTACAATAATCATAACGGAAGGAATTCAAAAACTGTGACTTCCTTCTTCTGTGGTACAATAACAGCCTGTTTAGCATAATAGGGAAATGTGTACATTGCCTGTAAAATATTGTAAATAAAGATTCCTCTTGTCTCTTATCACCATTGCTTCCTTTACATTACTATATAAATTAATAGAAGTGAACATCGTAACAATCCTTCCCAAACTTAAGTTATAACATATAACTGTAGTTCACATATAACTAAATATAAATAACTTATAACTGTAGCTGAAAAGATAACAGACATTGAATCAAAAGCAAGTTTAGTTTAAAAATTACCTGGAATTTTGGGTCTTTACTAACCCTTCAGCCAATTTTTATCAGTTTTATCCCCAGATGTCTGCTGGCTTCAACTGCTGATACTTTGGCAAGGTAAATCAAATTAGTAAATTAGGCAGACCAGAAACTTGCATTAGGCAAACCAGACACTTACAGCAGGCAAACCAGATACTCACAGTAAGCAAACCAGATACTTACACAAGGCAGACCACATTTCCTCTCTGGTACTTGAATTGCTGGCTGCCCAGTTTACTCATCCATATGTAGTCCGAGTACTTGGAATCATCAGGATTTAAAGTGGGCTAAAAATAAAAAATTTCTTTGTTATAAAGTCTTACTGGCAGTAAAATTGTTTGTGGTAATTTATCAATGGAATGTCAAAGAAAATGTAAAAGATATAAAAAAATGTAAATCACAGTGTACTTGAAACATATTAAAAGATGATCCCTTACTTAAATTTACAATTAACAGTTAGACTTGGATCAACTGATTGTGCTAGATGTGACTGCCAGACTGGGATCAACTAATTGTGCTAGATGTGACTGCCAGACTGGGATCAACTGATTGTGCTAGATGTGACTATAATCAGTGAAATTTCAGGCATGAACATTGTAATAGTTGCAAAGTAAAAACTGACACTGGAGAAGGTCTTCGAGATTTTTCATATACTTCAAGTTTATGTGTAAGATATAAAAGTCTGCTGTGTTCCATGTCATTACTTAGGTTGAGTCAACTAAGGAGGTAAAAAAAATCTACTTTTTCAGAAAAAATATCCTTTCTTTGAAAATAGCAGTTACATGTATTTTGTACAGACATGACACTTACATCAAGTCAGTTCAACCCAATTCCACTATGATACATAGGAACCATTCCCAGACCTTATTAACTGTTTGTCCTGCTTACTGAAGCTGTTAGGGGGTAATTAACTATCATTTAGCAGCTTCAGTAGGTATGCTGGACATCCAGTTGCTTAGGCTAAAAACAATTTAGCAAGAAACCCCTCGGAGATAGACAGATCATGTTAGACCAATCTAGGTATGGGAACACAGTCTCACAACACAACGCAATGCAATATATTTCAAGTCAGGTTCAATCAAAATCTTAATTCTACAGTCCATCAACTCAATGTTTGCATATATATCACACCACAATGGGCCATACTCACTGTCATTGACCGTCCTCGTATCTTGGAAGGAAACCCAACGGCAGAATAGATCACCCCTACCACGGCACCACCAACCAACACTTTGTTCATGGTAAGTGGACTATCTGCAACACCTGTAGTTCTGTGTAGTAGTAACTGAAAGTAAACAATTATCAAGCACACATGTTAAGGACTGGGACTGAAGGATTCTGTTTCTTTCTTTTTCCTAAATGTGTTTTCACATGTGGTATATAGCCAGCATAACACCTACCAGGCTAGCACGCTGAAGTTTTTCTAGGTCTGATAGATTTACAAAAGAAGAAAGGTTGATAATGCCTAAGATGCTTTTGCCTCAGGTTTTTTGCCTCATATCTAAGGCACAAACTAGAATGTCACAGGGGTTGTTTTGGCTAGGCAGACTTGGTCTGTGGGTGATTTGATGGCTGATTCTATTCAATTTTTGGATTTTAACCTGTATAAATCAAGGTCTCAAGTAAGGCTGTACTAGTATAGGTATTAAACATGTTACTAGTATCCATGGGCATCATGCACGTTATCACATGTGCAATGGCCCTGATGAAAGACTTCATTTTGCGCAAAGAAGACACATCAGTCTACTTAGTAGGTATGGGAGTCCAGTCTCCATAAAAAACTTGTCCATAAAAAACTTTCGTAAAATCACTTCTGCCAAGCAGCTTCCATGATTCTGCTGCAGTAGGGTACTTCCTGGGGTTGGGGGGGTGTGGAAGGGTGAGCATTGCCCTATTACCTACCTTGCACATATACATACTAGTAAGTCCATTTTATGTTTTCTTTAACAAGTGTTTAATTTCACCGAGGTATATCTGGTGGACAAGCAGAAGAATCCAACGTTTCGATAGAAGGAATTTACTTTATGTGTAACAATCTGCTTCTTCCATGCTCTTACACAACAGTGAATATCATGAAACAGAAATATGGATAACTGGTAGCGACCATTCGAAATAGTAACCGACTTCTGCCTGAGGCTGAGACAAAACTGAACGTACGAAATAATTAAGTTGCCAAAGTTAACCAAACAATGAAAACCATTGAAATTGAAATTCACAGTATATTCCCATTTCATATTCTTACCAACTGCAATTCCCACTAATCCTTCAGTAACAGGCCATTTAACCGAAAACATTGATTTGTGTTTTGCCTTTGAAAAATTTCTTCGCGTCTAGGGCGCCGCCATCTTCACATCCGGGGTTTTCCAAGATAAGCCTCGCCACGATCTGCAGACAAAAATAATTTGCCTGCGCGTAACGAATGCTAACTTTCAGCGACCCACGATTCCCCGTTGTTCTCCAACTGCAAATTTAATCTGAGATCAAGTGTTTGTCCCATGAACGATTTTTTCTCAAACATCTGCTGATATGTGCACAGGCTGGACAGAAGATTTTATCCAAACACTTTTTCTAGGCCATTTTTAAGGACCAAACCGTAGGCTTGATCCATTTTGACATAGACTTCACCGACAGTGACCCCGTTTTATCTTGCATCTGCGTACATGCATGCATTCTTTTTTTTCCTGATAAACTGTAAATATTTTACATATATAAGCGTATATTTTTTTTCGATTATGTATTATTATTATTGTTTAATTTAATTTAATCAAATTTAATTAATTTAATTTAGGCCTAATTATTTATTTTCAGTTTGTTGGATCGGTTAGGCCTACAAAGAGAGTGATATGGAACCACTGAGTCTGATATCACCACTTTCTTAATTCCAAAATAATCGCCTTGGCAAGGAGTTTTATCACTTTACCTTTTTAACCACCTCAATTGCTTCCAGTTTGTTCCAAACAATCTAGTTCTGTAGGTTTTTAGCAGTCGGTGAGCAGTAAACAAGGTTGTCCACGAGCCCGCAAAGTTCATTCGATTCTGAAGAAAGCATGGTTTTAACAGTTTAACCATTGTGCGGTGATTATGTCAGCTTTAGGCTATCACTATCAGACCCAGCTCGTGATACATAAGTGTCGGAAGGAAGTCTTTGGCATGGGTAGGTATACTTTCACTTTAACCAGCATTCAGTCTTTTATAAACCCTGAGGGTCGTAGCACTGGCGGCAACTCTGCTGTACCCCTCACGCGGTCTCCGTAAGGTCCGTATACAGGAAACTTGTCACTGGACCGAGTATTTGATAGACTATGAATTACAGGGTATTTCCCCCTGACCTAAAAAATGTCCGTTATCACTGCATGTCCACTTTAATCGCGATTTTATCAGGAATATATCTGGTTAATGTAAATGTTTATTAAAAGGACATAGGTAAAGGCTATGTACTGTAGCACGTACTGGTATTTCAACCAAGACAGAGCCTTTCCGTATCATCCGTCAACATCACAGGTTTTGTGCCCTTGATCTCACTCGAGGCAATCGGGAACGTACAGTATGACAAGATATTATTATATATTAGGATCTATTCAGAAGGCTAAGTTGTAGAGGACAATATATTACCAAGAAGTTGTCTCTTTACACCCTCTTGATATTACTGACTCGGGTTTACTTTGCTTGCTGTGTTGAATTGACCAGGATTTTCATCTCAACCGACAAGGATTCCTGGTGTTAAAAAAGGAAGGGCTGCACGTGGTTGTAAGTAATATTTAAACTTTTCACACGCCGACGTGATTCATGCCCATCCTCTGACGATCACCACAAATTTCGCCTGGGTTCGTGCACGTGGGCAAGGGAAAATAGTGCCTAATGCGAGACGTCTGCCAACTTGCAGTACCACGTTATATGATGGCTGATTTCGTTATTAAATGGAATCTGTTCGTTGTCTTCACTTTCACGTTCGCGTGGTCGTTCTCCCAGCTAGACAGCAGCCCTGTGTTATATTGCCAGCCAGAGGTAGGGTGATTTTTGTTTGTCTGCATTTCTTTTCGTCTCTCTCTCTTTCTCTTCGTCTGCATGTCTTGCTGTTCTTTTGACATATCAGTTGTCCATTCATACATAAATGTATACAGCAGTACTTTTCTTTTCCATATACGTTTATGTAAAAGTCTACAGATTTAGTAATGCTTGATTTTGATTGAAATGCCATATTTTGATATTTATCTAATTGATTTTCAATGTTTTCAAATGAATAAATGAAGTTCGGGTGATTGTTTGTCTCCTGTGTGAATTTCTTAAAAGATAAAATAAAACGTCCTGAAATGAATAATATTAGGCCATTCAACTTGAGTAAATAGCATCCGTAATAATTATGAACTTTTCTTTTCCAGAAACACCCTTATCTTGTGTGTCACAGTGCACCCACTAGTAAGTATGGGGCTTATTTATCTCCTATTCGAATACAAATAAAGATATAGTCAATCTCAAAAGTGGACATACATGCGTTTCCTCTCGTAAAAATACCTAGACATGCCGGAGTAGTTGGCACAGTACAAAGCCCTTTTTTGTTGTGTGATTTTTTTTTTCTTTTTTTTTTTTTTTTTTTTTTTTTTTCCTTTAAGATATTTGTTTTCAGTCGTTCGTTCAAATTTATTTTTATTATTTTATTATTCTTTTACATATAAAAACTGATGTTGGCGACATTAAAAAGGACGATTGTTACGTTTTATTTAAAGGTTATAATGTTAATGAAAAGTCGACGTAGTTTTCAAAAAGTCCGATTTACGAACCGTGGCCCTATTGTTCCCTTTACTGAAAACTATACTAACCCACCAGTTGATCTTTTTTCTATTCCTCTGAAGATAAGCTTTTAGCCTGAGTAGTTATTCCATTTCTAGAAATAGCCCTTGAAAGGATTTTTAGAAGATGTGTACAGAAAGCACAAGTGTTGCGTGTGTATGGAACAAAATTAATGTCAAATAATTAAATAAAATGAAAAAAGTGAAACGTGATTTGAAATTTAAAGACAGCTGGACTGGTTTGTCTGCCTCCTCAACAGCATTTTGGAAAGCAAACTTGGACAAAAATGAAACAGCGGATATGAGAATATAATTGATGTTTTTGTTTGTTTTGATGTTACCTTTAATCCTGTTTATAAGCCAGAGGGTTTCTGTGCACGAGCCAAATGGATAGTTTGCGTTTTAAATATCTACAGTCGTCCAAACAAGAACACATATAATTTAATGAATGCAGAATGTAAGATCATGAAAAGGGAGAGAAAAACCATTTGTTTTTTATGTTTAATTTCTTTTTTATTACTATTCTTTTTCATTGTTGTTAAATATCCTTATTAGAATATTGTGTAAACCTATTTGAATCATGTGTTCTTGTCTCCAAGAATATATTAATAATTAAACCGTCCAAACAAAAACACATCATTAAATAAGGGCACAGAGCTAAGTCGAGGTTAAAGAGAAAGGCCTCTTATTTGAATCGGCTTGAATGAATTAAAAAAAATCTAGAAGCTTCATTTTTTTGGCATTAATGGATTCCCAAAGACTGCTCGTGAATTTTTTATATAAAAAGTCTACAAGTAACACTCCTTGATGATTGAGGTCAGGTTTATCGTAATTAAATCCAGATGTCATTTGGATTTTTTTCTAGTTACGTCAATGCACTTAATGTGAGTTTGTTTAAAAGTCATCGCAGCAGGGGTTACTCTCTCTCTCTCTCTCGTTTTTCACTTAATCATTCGTTCATTCATTAGAGTATTTATCATTTAGTCGTTTATATTCAAAGCTATGTGTGTTATTTCTTCAAATTCTGTTTACGTGATAGCCAATTAAACAGAGATAAATCATAATTCAGACGCTGCGGTTAAACACCCTAGATGAGAGAGTGTCACGCGTGTAATAAAAGTGGAGGAATGCAACTGCTGAAGGTGATTAAATTCCACGGGACGGGCTGAAGTTCTGGAACTGTGAATTTTAGTCCGTAAATTCTTGGCAGGGGCGGATTCAGGATTATTTGAATGAGGGGGGGTGGGCTTGGGTTTTTTTTTTTTTTTTTTTTTTTT